TTCTGCAATAAAAATTGTCAAAAATAGATTGCATAGTCGAATTGGTGATAAATGACTTAATGATTGTCTCGTTTCATACTTTGAAAAAGAAGTCTTTGATTTAGTTTCAAATAAAGTTGTTATGCAATATTATCAAAATATGCAAAATAAATTGAGAAGTTTTGGAATACAAGACTTTGTTTTAAATTGTGATATTGATTTTTTTTTAATATAATAAGTTTCCCCCCACAGGTAAATTGATGGAATTAGTTGATTTTATGGTTCATAGAAAGATAAATATCTTTTGTATTCAAAAAAATAAATGGGTTGGAGAAAAGACTAAGGAGATTGATAGCTTAGGTTTTAAATTTTGGTATTTAGTTATGAGCTGCACTAGAAATAATGTAGGTGTAATTATAGATAAGAGTTTGAAGAAAATGTTGTAAGAATTAATAGCCCTTAAGATTGTTGTTGATACTAAGATTTTAATTTTATAAGAGTTTAATGGTTTTTTCTGGTCCAAAAATTTTTTAATATCTGCCCATCATTTTGTTATGGCTTCATCTTCAATAGTGTTTATGTCATTGTCTTGATATTTTTTCATCTTTTTCAAGATTAGGTGTGGGGGTTGCAAAGAGTTTTGCAACTTGTTGTTGATATTTACACAACATTCTTTTTTTAATCCAATCTAGCAACTCGTGAGGATATTTCCACTTTAAATTGTCATGAATATTTTTACGAGTAAATTTGAGTTTTGTACTATGATTTTCTAGTGACTTGCTCTTTATTAATGCTAATAAAATTTTCAATATATTTTTGGTTTTCATTCACATTTTTGCATCCATTACTCCGGTAAAAATCTCCTTTGAATACACAATTTATTAAGTTAATTATGACCCTTAGAAATGTTCCATGACCAAATTTGAGGATTTTGACACTTTGTGAAGCATAAACTAAACTTTGGCATTGAATTAATTAATCTGTAGTAATTACTTGTATCGCAAAAGATGATTTCACCCGCATGTTATAATTTTCTTTAAAAGAAGTAGAAAACAACAATAACAATACTTTATCTCACTAAGTAGGGTCGGCTACATGAATCATTTTTCTCCATTGTCATATTAAGTGTCATATTTTCATTTCTTTCTAATAAATTAAGATCATTTTTTATACATGCCCAAGTCGTTCTTGGTCTACCTCTATCTTTTTTTAACATAAGTCAAATCTAAAACATCTACTCTCCTAACTGGGTCATCAGATGGTTGATGTTTAATGTGACCAAACCATCTAATGCAACTTTCTCTAGTCTTGTCTACCACTGGAGTTACTCCAACCCTTTCACGGATATATGCATTTCACATTTTACCTCTAAGTGTAAAGCCACTTATTTATTTGAGCATTCTCATCTCAGCAGCACGTAACTTAAATTTTATACTTCTCTTTTACAGGCCAACATCTTGCACTATAAAGTATTACAAATCTCACCACCATCTTATAAAATTTACCATTAAGTTTAAGCGGTATTTTTATATCACGCAATAAGCCCGATGCATTCCCCAACTTCAGCCATCCAACATGAACTCTACTATTAACATCCCAATCTATAGTACCATCACTTTAAACAATAGACCAAAGATATCTGGAACATTCACTCCTTTTGATGATCTAATCACCCATTGTTACTACCCCTCCACTAAATCTATTACTGTTAAAATTATATTTCATGAATCTAATTTTAGATCTACTCAAATGAAATCCTTTAGAATCTAAAATTGACCTCCATAATTCAAGTTTATCCTAAACTTTCTCTCTAGTTTTATCCACAAGAAGGATATCAGCAGCGAAAAACATACACCAAATTACATCCTCCTATAAATGTTCAGTGAGAACATCCATCACTACAGCAGAAGAATATGGGTTTAATGACATAAACCATTTAATATAGGAAAATATTTGGTTAATCCTTCTTGTGCTCGAACACAAGTAATAGCTCAACTATATATATCTTTAATGACTTGAATATAAGCAATATCAACATCTTTCTTTTTTAGAACTTTTTGTAGCTCTTCGCTTGGATACTTATCATAAGATTTTTCTAAATCAACAAAAATATATGTAAATCCTCCTTACTCTCTTTGTACTTTTCCATCAAACCTCTCAATAAATGTATAGCTTTCATAGTAGACTTGCCCGGCTAGAATCCAACTTGATATTCATAAAATTTTGTAGCACGTTGTAACCTATGTTCAATTACTCTTTTCCATAACTTTATTGTATGACATAACTTAATTTTTCTATAATTTGTACACACTTATGCATCCCATTTATTCTAAAAAAAAGGAATCAGTAGGCTCTTTCTTCACTCATCATGCATCTTTTTAGTATTCAAACTAATATCAAAAAGTTTATCGTGCCAAGAAATTCTCAAATTTTTTAAGCATATTCACACTTCTATCGAAATGCATTTATTTAATAGAGAAGTAGAAATGAATTCTAAATTACCTTAAGTCTATCCATCATCTATTTATTTATTTTTTCACTTTCCCATCATCTATTTGACTATGAAGGAATTTGTTTGGTGATTGATTAATTCATTAATACGATCATCTATATATATTTTTTAATTTATAACATAAAATGCTTTCACCACTTTCTTTGTCATAGATCAATAAGTACTAAAATTACTCCTAAGAAATGAGGAATTGTGACTATTTGCCACTCTTAATAAGGGGTTTTGACCCAAATATTTGTCATGTTAAATCCTATTGACGATGCATTTGCTATAGGGAATTGCTTTGTTTTGTTCATTTTAGTTGTATAGAATCTTTACACATTTTAGTTACAAGGCAATTTTCTCACAAGTGTTTTTCATGCGGATAGACAATTGTTTCCAAGCCAATCCTGACAAGCATCCATGTTTACTAGATATTACAATTCTCTGGATTATAGTTTGTAATATATTTCAGTGTTGGCTTTACATAAAGAAGTAGTTTAGCTTCCATGATTTCTTTTGAATAGGATAATTTCTCATATGTTCTCCTTCTAGGTAATCCATATAAATATTCCTTAAGGTCTAGTTTGCCTTCTCCTTCAATGCTTGTGGTTAATCCCTTGCGATCTTCGGAGGAATATTCTCCTCAGTTCAATATATTTATTTTGCTGTGCTGCAAAAGTTTCTTGGCTTTAATATAAAAATGATAAATTGACAATTGTGCTTTGTACCCTACAAAACTTTTTTTTTGGAGAGTAGATGCATGACATCTATCTACATAGTTGATTTAACTGCACTAAAATTACTTAATAATATATATTTTTTTTAATTTAATACGCCCTCTTAAAATTTTGACATACATTTAACAAATAAAATTGTTTTCTTTTTTAATTATGGAATTCTATATTTGCATAGTCCATCTGGTAGAACTGTAACGAACTAATTCTTCATTAAAGTATCAATTTCAACCATCTTAAAACAATCTTGGGCAGTCATATATAAATAGGATATCTTTTTTGCTCTCTTTAATTTTTTCTATAGCTAATATGTGTGTTGAAGTCCATGAGTTTGGCTTTTTTTTTCCTTAAAGAGACCATTTAGGATATTAGGATCAATAGTTAATTCTTTTTAGAAGCTTGCTCCATAATTAAGTATATAGTTAGGTAATATCAAGGGTTTTATTCGTAATTTTAGAGGTAAATTTAATACTTTTCCTTAAGCAATTAAAAAAAACTCTTTGCAACCCTTGTACCTCGTCTCGAAGAAGATGATAAGTTTTAGGGCTATCATGAACACTATCGGAGATGTGCCACAACAATGTGAGTGGACTATATTAGAAATTTTTGGATTAAGGAAAATCATGAAGAAACTGGTACGGCTCATGTTCATATCTACTACAATTTAATATTTGGACATAACATCATTCTAAGATGCAATCAAATATATTTAATTTTAATTAGTTTGTTTCTATATGTATCTTAATGTTGGAGCATATGAAAAGTATCGTAGGATGTTAAAAAGGAATATGTAGTAGAATTGAAAAATCATTTCACCTCAAAATATGTAGCTAAAAAAACATGGATGAAATGATTGGAAGTACTCTTACTTTGATTCTCAACAAGAATATTTAGTTTTGATGTTTGTAGTCGAAGTATTTAATCTTTCTTTCGATAGAACTCAGAGATCGATGGATAGATTTGATAAATTTGGATGAAGATGAGAACAAAAGCTCTCACACAATGCTCTCATTTATATGTTTTATGTTCAAGACTTACGTCTTAATCCACCTTAAGATTTAAGTCTCGCTTTGACAATACAAAATGGTCTTAATCCCGGATTTTTGTCTATTTAAATTTTTTAATCTTATAATGTGCTTTTTATTTATTTCAATATTTGCATCATCAAAATTTATTGCATATGAAAAATGTGTGTTTGTGTATGTGTGTGTCTATATATATATATATTAATAAAGTTCATTATTACACATATTTTTAATATATAATAATAAATTACAAGTTCTTGCATTATAAAAATCATGCACTTGAAGCCTTCAAAGAAAAATGTAGAGCAGCTTCTCTAAAAGTCGTAAGTCCCTTCAGGTCACAGGTTCAGATCCCACCCGTGTGTAGGGCGTGGTACTCGAATATTTAGCACACCTAGGGATGGTCGAGGCTCCCCCAATAGCCTTTGGCCATTCGTTTCAATAATAAAAAATAATAATAATAATAATAATATTTGTTTGAAATCCCTGATATTTCGGTGAGGAAGAGGTACTAGGTTCTTAAGTCTCAAGTTTATCAATCCATTTTTTTTTATTATTATTGTAGTTATACTCTAATCTTCTTTTGAGACCTTTTTTATCTTTTGTAGGGTAAAGCTGCATAAAGATGCTGTCACTCAAGTTCTGCATCTTCAAAATTTTTTTATATGCATTTAAACAAATTATCCAACAGCTCCAAATTTACTGAATTGCAGTGATTAATTTGATTAAATTTTCATATCCTCAACATTTTACTCCTAAGTTATGCAGGACTGAGCAAGCGGACCACTTCAGAGGGTCTTAGGGAAGCCTTTATGAAGTTCGGGAATGTCATCCAAGGTATTTATCTCTCTAAAAAGCTTACAAAAAAAAAGAACACTCGAGATATCCTAATTTCTGTTTTCCCCTTACATGTTAATCAGCCAGGGTTGTAACCGATCGGGTCTCGGGCTACTCGAAAGGTTTTGGTTTTGTGAGATATGCTACAGTCGAAGAAGCAGCTGAAGGCATAAAGGGCATGGATGGCAAGGTGTGGCTTAGTGTTTGAAATTTTAATTTAGAAATTGAAATCCTCACACCTTAGTACTTATGTTTTTGTTGCCAATTTTTTTCTGTCTCTGTTGCAGTTTCTGGATGGTTGGGTTATATTCGCAGAGTATGCAAAACCAAGGCCACCGCCACCTTCTCAAGCTCAGTCATCCGAGTCTCCGCCGGCACCACCATCAAACTACATGTCCCAAACTTCACAGTCTTGGACGAGTTACCAGTCGTCTCAGACATTGCAGACTCGTCCAATCAACAACTCAGTACCACCATCGAACTATTCCTCCGAGACATCACCCCCTCCTTCAGCCTATTCGCAGGCATCGAAATCTCAACTGGGCTATGCGTCAGGGCCGCCAATAGGGTATAATCCACAGGCATCTCAGCCTCCAAATTTTCCACCAAGTACATCAGTAAATACAGAGAATTCATCAATTCAGCCATCAGGAAATCAAACATCAGACACCAAGTCCTCCTCCTGACTTGAATCTGGTAATGGAATGCCCAAAGAAGACGTGTAAACTTAAGATACTATTAATTTTTATCAAATTTTCATCTCATTAAACTATTTTTGGGTCCACAAAATCAGCCAACCGCTTATATAAACCATCAAGTTCCCACAGACGAATCCTTATTCTATTTTTCTTTTAGGAAAACTTACATGCCTACCACAGAATTTTTGTGTTTACATTTCTAATGCCTAAATTTTGATATTTATATTTATAATATTTTAGTGTTATAATTTTAGGAAAATATATGCATGAAAATGACTTTCATTTTTTAAATAATAATAATAATATCAAAGATTTGAATGAAATGCAAGTAAATATCAAATTCTTGGTGCTTAATATGTCAATTGATAAAACTTGTGTGATAAGCATGTAAATCCTCTTTTTTTTTGTAAGTATGATTATGATGCAATTTATTTGTTATTAGGTAAGTTTATACTTGTAAAATTAAAAACAAACCCTTCAGCGGGAGAAAATATTTCATCCAGATATTGGCGGTCACGTTGTCATATATGTCATCGGCGGGCAACATGGTGGTCAGTGGTTGGTCGTGTGGACGTCCAAACAGAATATATTTTTCTTCCAGGTCTTGCAATATTCAAAGTTGGTTTTTGTTTGCATTTTAGGTCAGACGTCTTGTTGTTGTAATTAAACCGAGTCGAGTAAGCTATGGATTGAATTTAGCTTTGTCCAATTATAAGTTTGCTACAATTTAGTTCAAATTTGAGCCGAGTTTAACATATATATATGTTCATGTTTAGCTTGTTTAGATTGTTAAATGTTCATAGCCATTTATGCTGATTTATTTACATTAATTGAGCCGACTAAAAATTTGAATTAGTACAAAATTTTTAACAAATTTTTTAATATAAAATTAGCAAAAAAGTTAAAAATTTAAATGAATATTTGATTTTTTTTATATGAAGGTATTAAAAAATAATTTTATAAATCTAAATAAATCAGGAATGATTACATTAAGCCAATCCTAAACTTACCATCTACTTTTTCTAAACAATGAGAACAACATTTACATATTTTAGTTGTTTTTAAAGTAATAATAATTATTTATTATACTTTATTTCACATCAAAATATAAATAAAATAAAATAAATAACAAAAAACTAGAAATGATCCCAAACGAACGAAAATTTATCACAAGCAGATGAACAATTATGGATGGTGAGGCCACCTCACCACAAATCCACATCAACATTTAGAAAAAAAAAAATACATAAAATGTTGAATGTCATAAGTTTTCATGAAGACCAACTTATGAGAGCCAATCCATTTTTACTCCTAGCATTTTTTTCTTATAATTAATTTTTCTTCCTAAGCAATGGTCTTTATCTATTAAGAATTTTTTACATAAATCTAGGCATCTTTTAATATGGTTTATAATTTATCTATTATTATTCTTTCATCAGGGAATCCAATGCTTTTGTGGATTCTCCTAATCATATGTGTCAACTTGGCCCAATATTTAATAACTTACAAAAAAGATAGTTTTTTTAAGTTGTATAACAGATAAATAAAAATAATTATTTTGTTTTTTTTTTCCAACATCAACATAATAAATATTTAAAACCACCAAATATGACATACTTTGATTGTTTATGATATAGGACAGACGACATTCTAGAACCATTGTAATAAAAAAAAAAATATTATATCACGACTCCTGATATCCTGATCCTGATGTATTCGGAGTTCAATGATGAGGCATCATGTGTTAACCAGTTTCTACCATTTTTAATATCTGTCAATATCAATATCAGTGTGTTACAGTAATAATCACTTGACACCTGGCACCATTAAACTCTAAACTCTGAAGGCAAATTGTGTTAGGAGTCGGAATCATACTGCATCCACCTTTCCCTTTTCTCCCCACTCCAGCCCCGCCATAGTCTCATACAACGGCCGCTCTCTCGTTTCCGGCAACCTCAATCCCCCAACCCCACCCCCCCCGCCACCACCGCACACGCCCCAAACACCCCAAACCCCCATCTTCCCCCCGCCGCCGCCACCACCACCGGAGCCGCCACGGCCCCCATCTGCCCCGCAAACGACACGCAACCCAACGCCGCGTTCCTCACCTCTGTCGGAAATAGCTCCGCCATACATACATACATCAGATTATACGTTGCCGCAACCGCAAATATCCCCACCGCCGCGCACCCGGTTCTTGCCGCATTTACAAAAGCTTCCGCCGCGAAGCAGAGAAATCCGCAGAGCCACATGGATGTCACGGCCATCGGCCGCCTTCCATGCCATCTCAGAGCCACTGCCGTCAGCGCGTAGGCCGGAATTTCAGCCACCGCGTTGAGGATGGCGCTGAGGTGGATTTCGGGCCCCAAATTCGCGACATTGAGGGTGAGGCCGTAGTAGGAGACGGAAATCAGGAAGTTTATCAGGAGGCCGAGGATGAGGCGCGGGCGGGTCACTTTGGAGCGCATGACGTCGATGATGGAAGCGGATCGGACGGTTCGGGTCGGGTCGGCGGTTTGTGAGAGCGATGTCCGGTCGGGAATGAAGTAGCCGTTGGTTTTTGCGATGGCGCGCATGATTTGGATGGCGGCGGGGAGGTTCCGGCGGACGAGATGCCAGCGGGGGGATTCGGAGATGAAAGGGAGGGCGAGGAGGAGGAAGAGGATGCAGGGGATAGAGGTGGAGATGTAGAGGAGGCGCCATGAAGGGAGGAGGAGGGAGGTGACGGAGAGGGAGATGGAGCCGATGGAGAAGAAGTGGAAATTGGACATGGCGGCGGCGGCGCGGAAGGAGGGGCCGACGGGCTCGGTGGACAGGACGAAGGCGGAGAGTCCGACGCCGCCGGGGGTGAGGCCGGAAGAAGGCGTAGGTTGAGAAAGAAGGGGAGAAGGCGGTGAGGAGGCTGAAGACTGCCATGAGGAAGCAGTTGAGAGTGAGGACTCTTTTGCGGCCGAGGAAGGAGTCGGAGAGATGGCCGGAGAACGCCGCACCTGGGAGCAGCAGGATAAAAAGATTTATCATTTTAATTTGATGTGAATAAAATATTTCCATCCCTAGTAAAGTAAATAAATATTTAATTATATAAATTATTTAAATAGTTTAATATTTTTAAGGGGCATTTACATGCATATCACCCAATTCTTATTATTTACATATATAACACTTATTAATCTTTGATTTTTTCCATTTGTAACATCTAAAATTTTCATGTCACAACTAAAAATACAACTACTCTTAACTTTTTAAATATATATTATCATGCTTAGATAAGGTGGTAATTTTGTAAATATCAAAATTTAGGCCTTAGATATTGTAAACACAGAATTGAATAATCTGTTTGTAGATCTTCCTATTTCTAATGATAATGATGACGAATACCTGATTCAAATACTTATAAGAAAATATTAGATTTGATACAACATGAATAAAACTTATCATTTTGCATGAATCCCGAGGGGATTAGAAAGAATCTCAGATAATTTTTTAATAAAAAATATTCAAACTCTTAACTGAAAATCATTCAAGTTTTTGATTTCAACAAACTTATAGTTAAATTGATCGGCTCAAAAAGACAGATCCAATGACACTGAAATTGATCCAATCTGAGATAAAGTGAGTCTGAATCAGGTTATTAAGCCATATTTGGAAGCATTTGGTGTTTAATTAGAAGGTCAAACATATTCTAAATCTGACATGTTTATAATCAAATCGAGCGTATCAACGAGATGAATCTAATGAGCCTAAAATCGCTAAATTTTGACGTCATTAATATACCCAAATATGTACGAATATCATCCAAACGAGGGTACCTCTTCGGGTTGTATGATGGAGTGGTTCAGATTCATTCTTTGTTTCAATGAAGACCTCTCTCATACTCTATAAATGGATCCCTACCCTTCTTTACGAGAGGTGAACTACGACCTTAACTTGGGGAAGGATCAAGAGGAGTTCAATTACATTGTCGTTTTTGCATTGAATATCCGACAAACGCTTTTATTATATGGGTTTGGGGAAGCATCATACAATCATTACTTGTTATAGGGCAATTTGGAGGTGCCACGGGGGCTGGCTCGGGATGCTTAGTCTCATGATACTTCAACATCATTGAGGAAAATCACCGACAATAGAAAGAGTCTCTGAAGTTGAACATCAATTCCTCACTCACAAATTCATAGATATAGTACACATTGAGCCGCATCCCTTTAAAATCCCAAAATCTAAACATTTGTAGTCTATCATCTACAGTGACCTTAAAAGAGATTGGCAGCTGCAACAGTTTCTCTTGTTTCTCAAGGAATCTTCAATCGTTCTTTATGAAGAAAATTCATATGATCCACTGTCTTACATGTTCGTTTGTACGAAAATCCAATTGTTTGCTTTGAAAGGGGACGCAACCATGTGTGTCGCTTGTAAATCTGCCTAATTTTATAAAATATCTGACGTTAGTTTTAACTCACGTTTCCCTAAAAAGGCAATTAGCCTAATGACGATAGCCATTCTTCGACAAGAGGACTGGAAAATACTGTCTCTGATAACTTTTAAAGAAAGTTGATTATCTCGGGCACTAACAAAAATCGCAGGCCGACTCATGATGCCGCCTATTAAATGGAACATATCTCGAGGAGGAGAACATGCTTGATCTGTTGGGGTCAGCAACTTCACAAGCATATCGTTGGGAAAATAAAATTTCTTCCAAAATAGTATTAGGTTTTCCTCTGTCAAGTTCTATATCGCATCATCAAAATTTTGGATTTTCCTCTAGTTTTTAGGAGGGTGGGGTTCCCAAAATTTCGACATCTTGAAACACAAAAACAATCTCATCCGGAAAATGCATCAGCAACCCTTGAGGGAGCTATATTAATCACACAAACAAACTGGAAGACTCTGAAGTGGGTAATAACAAAGTCAAATGAAGCTTTGTTAATCACACAAATATGATGGGATACTTTGAGGTAGGCAACTAGAACATCGAGGGGAGCTCTGTTGATTGTACAAATGAGTTGGGAGACATCGATGTGGGCCAAAATACTGCCAAAAGGAGATTTGTTGATTGCACAAACAAGCTGGAAGACACAAGTTTATTCCTCCTCTTCTTAGTTTTTTTTATTAACTCAAAAAGGACAAATTTAGCCAAAAATGCCCGAGTGTTCTCACAGCAACCCACATAAGTCATCCGATTTCACACAATCAGACAAATGTACAACCCAATTCGTGTCAAAATGCTAGTTTCTATTGATTACGTGTGTGAATCACCATAGTTATGCACACGACGGATCTCGTCGTCTGTTAGACAATGCACACGTCGTTAGATCTATATTGCATAAATCGCTAGTGCTAGGCAACCACACCATGCAATTCGCACAACCACACTAAAAAATGCAAACTCACACCGTAAATGGTGCACCCACGCCACAAACGCATAACCACAGGAACACTTCATCTTGATCATCTCACACACAGAGCCCCCAAGCTGCCTAATCCGCGTCATGCAAATCGCCAACCAACCTGATGACTTGCTTAATCTTCTCACAAGCCGCAAACATGGTGACTCACCTAACCCAATGGACTTATGATGGACTCCAAACGACACAGACCCTCTCATCCGCAGACCTATCTAGATCTGCTTAATCGTCATATGTGCTCCATCTCGTTTAACCGTCGAAGCCACACTAACTCGCTAAGCTAGTCTCCTGTGCATGTGATTGTGGTCGACAAAATTGCCCACAGGTAGATGCCTTCGTCTAGCACGAGTCGTTGCCTCCACCTCCGTCGATCACTGCCTCCATCACCAAAAATCAAATTTTTTCAAAGTTTTAAAAAATTTGTTTGATTTTAATGATTTTGATAATTTTTTTTTACAAATAAGCAAAATCACTTGAAAATTAGGAGAAAACTAATAGAGCATTAACAAAATTTGTTAGCGCAAATCTCAAGGCAATCAACACGAATATCAGAGCATTTTTGGGGCAAGGAACACTCAAGCTCCAATTAAAAATCATCAAAAACTCAAATGTCAACAAACTTACAGTTAAATTGACCACATTGACGAGATAGACACATTGACATCGAAATTGATCTAATCTAAGTCAAATCAGGCTCAAATCAGGCTATTATGCAACTTTTGGAAGATTTTGGTGCCTAATTCATAGATCAAACAGATTCCAAGTATGATAAGCTTATAGTCAAATTGAACATTTCGATAAGACAATACAGGCGAGCCTAAGATTGTTTAATTCTGAAATAATTAAGGCACTAAAATTTCCATAAAACAAAATCTAATTGAGGGAATTTCTTCGGGGTGTTTGATGGAGTGATATGGATTATTTCTTTATTGTAGGGAGGCTTCTCTGAGACTATATAAATAGAGCTCTATCCCCTTTTATGAGGGGGAACTAAGATAAAAACATGGAATAGGAGAATTAGGAGAATAAATAGCTGAAATTGAGTGTTGTTTATGCACCAAAAATTCTGTGAATTCCTGAGCAGTCGACTGTCATCAACCACCGCTTGTCGACCCTCTTTGACCACCACTACCCCCACTATCGTCGACCTTCATCGGCCACGCCCGGCATCTTACATCGAAGCCCCGTGCACACTCAAGTCGTATGTTGCAGTGTAACAAAGCGTTGTGTATAGTAATTACCAATGATGCAAAGTAACAAAACATCTTTCGAATTAGGTCATCGTTTCAAATATTATGCAGCGACGCACATTAAAGACAGTGTACCGAGGCACTGCAACTACTCCCAACCACAACTGCTACTGACCACCGTGCAACGAGTCATTCGACATACGAACACTGCACTTCGAAAAATTATATAACTTTTCACCGTCTATAGGACAAGGTCTATACATGCAGTTGTCAACATATAATAAATCATTCTGATTGCGCTAGAATTTTATGTATATTTAATTTTTGAACTGAGCTGAATAATTAATATTTTCTCTCCCATTTAAATTGTTTTGGAATCCATGAATTGATGCAAATAAAATCCAAGCTAGCTCCCACCCATGCAAATAAAACGCACGTGACGCTGAGCTGGTTATAGCAACTTGAAGCCATCATCCATTTTATATCAAATTTATACTGAAACTTATAAAAAATAAACAATAATAACTCTGATCCGACATAACTGTACTGACACTGAACCACCTGCACCAAGCGTGTCACTAAAGGCGTGAGTGGGCCAACCCGCCGGTGAGTTAGCTGAAACTCAATTACAAAAACTGGCTCAACATACATGGACAATATATGCGATTTTCACCATCAATCATTTAAAAAATAATAATAATAAAAATAAGGTCCATCGAAATACAATTTTACTTTGATGAACGGTAGGTAGGGGTTGGACAGCATATATGAAATATATATGTTCTACGTATGAAATAATGTTTCCATCAACAGAATTTGATGAGCTAATAAATCAAGATCAAATGATTCCCCACTCCACTAATTAATTATCAAATTGATTTATTTAAAAAATAATTAATTCAAAATATATTCAAAATATATTAAAAATAAAGAATTGTTCTTAAAATTATTAACAATATCTTAAAAATAATATTTAATTATTTATATTAAATGATTTCTTATTTAATTTCTCATAAATGCTCATGATAATTATAACACTAGCTTAGATATATATTTTTTCTCTCTTTTATTCTAAACAAGTCGGCTCGTGAGCTGGCTAAAACTAATAGAATTAAGCTCGAGCCTAAACTCATTTAATTAGTCAAACCCAACCTAAAGGTGATTACTCTTCTTCTACAAGGTTCTCTCACAGCAACAGGCAGCTAATCATAATACTCTGCTCATTCAGCTCGTTAACTATGAGTAAGTTTAGCACAGACTCATGTCACTCATCCTCAAAATTTGTTTAATACTTAAATTTCTATAAATATTTATTTTTTTTACATTTTAATTATAATTAGAGTTGTCTTAAATAGAAGCATTTACATGCATACCCCAAAATTCTTATGTATTTACATATTTAACACCTCAACTTTCACATTTATATGCATAGCACTCAACTCTCAAACAACTCACAAAAAATATCACTATTCCTAATCTTTTATAAGTGAAATAATTTTTTTTTTCTATATTATCATATCAAAATGTTATAAACATAAATATAAAATTTTAGTTGTTATTGTTGGATTAATTTTGGGACTACAATGTAATTAATAAATGTGTTGGGTCATCATTAAATAAATCAAAATTATTTTGGTCTAATTTAGAATTAAGTTTATGACTTTGGGCACATTTGTCATGATATTATAGTGTGGATACCATAAGTGCAAATTCTAATTTGATGAGGGGCAGAATTAGAATTAAGCAAAACTTTTTTTGTATTCTTGCACCCCATCAACAAGAAAACTAAGGAACATTTGGAAAATCTGCAGATTGGAAGATCATATCTTGTGCAATCGATCTAATGGATTCCGGTACGCTTCCGCTAATCTATGACTTATTTCTCTCGAAATTGAATATGAATTTTTTTTTAAGTTCTAACAGTTATTGGTGCGTGCTAGAAAATTCGTGGCGTTAGAGTAATGGATTATCGTCTTAGCGTTGCACGAGGATTCAACACACACTCAGATGAAAATGAATCAGACTGTGATAACACCATGAGTTTTTACGTGGAAAACTCGTAAAGAAGAAAAACCACGGGGGCCTAACCAAGTAGTAAAAATTTACTATAAGTTGAGGATTACAGATGTCTCTTGTCCCACAGGCGGGGAAGGGTTTCGACGGCGGTTGATCACAATCGATGACCGTCGGCGGTGGTCGACGGAGGTCGGCGATGATTGGCGACGGTCAGTGGTGGTCGACGGCGAACAACGATGGCGAGGATGATCTTGGACTTGAGCTCCTTTTCAAAGCCTCAAGTTCTCTCTTAAGCCTTCCCCCCTTTCATGTGAGGGGTGAGGCTCTATTTATAGTGTTTTTAGTGCAATTAATGCAAGAATATGAATCATTTTGATCGGACGGTCCGTAGAGCTTCCTTTGATCAAATGACGTTTGATGGACATTTGAGTGTCTTAACGATGTCAGAATTGAGCAATCTTGGTCTCGTTGGATTCGTCTTGTCGAGACGCTCGATATGACAATAAACTCGCTAGATTCGACATCCGTTTGACCTTTCAAATGCCTCCGAAAATCCTCCAATACTGGTTTAATGATTTGATCCGGGCTTGATTTGACTCTGATTGGACTGACTTTCATATCATTAGGTCCGTCTCATCGAGCCGATCAGTTTGACTATAAGTTTGCTGAAATCGGAGCTCCGTATGACTCTTAATCGAAGTTTGAATATTTCTTGTTCAAAAAATTACACTAAAATTCGTGTCGGATGATAAAAATTTATTTGTGGCGTATCAATTATATTTATAAATTTCTATATTTTTATGTTTTTATTTTCCGTCACACCTTTAACATGGCTCTTACTTGAAAAAGCTAGAAGGCAAACATTATTGGATCACACAAATAGTGGAGAAATCATATTTTAATTCAAAGCATCTATAATAAGGCACGGGTGTTCGTGCCCTATTTTTTGTCCATTCTTGACATCATTGAAACAAATTCCACGGTGCAAACGTGACTTTGAAGCAAGAAAAAAAAATGAAGGCATGGCCGAAGAGTATCCAATTATCATCGTACTTGGCTATTGTTGTTGTACGTTGGCATTAAAAAATTAAATCATGCTTGGTTAGTATAGTTTCTGTTGAGAAAATAAGGGCGAAGAAAAATAATAATCGACACAAATCCAGAAAAATACAGAGATTTAACGAGGTTCGGCAACGATGCCTACGTCCTCGGGAGCAGAGCGGCGAGTTCCTTTCAATAATCAGAAAAGAGATTACAAAATAGAGGATACCTCCTGGAGTTACTTCCAATTAAAAAAATAATGAAGTCACTCATCCTAATTATTATGATAAAATAAATTTGGACATGACATTTATATAAGATATATGAGACGTAAGACTATGTTATGTTATAATCTCTCATCTCTAGCATAGAGCATAGAACGAAAAAGACGTGCATGATAATTTTGATGGAAGAAGAAGATGAAGAAATGTATATGAAATGTTTAGATTAGTCGGGTGAATGAGTCGAGTTGAGTTTGAGGCACCCTCAACTTAAACTTGGGCTTCATTAATTTTATCGTGTTCGAGCTCAAGCTCAAGCTTAAGCCTACCCACTGGAGCGGGTTCAAGAGCCGACTTATTTATTATAAAATAGATAAAATAATGTTAATTTAATGTTGTGTTATAATAAAGTAATAAATAAAATGGGTAATTATTTTTGAAATAATAAAAAAATCACTAAATATTAAATCTAAATTCTTATTTTTAAATATTTTTATCACTTTGATGAAAATTTCTTCAAATTGGATATATTTTTTACTTTTTTAATTCTCAAAATATATGCTTATAAATAAGTAATAACAAATGTCATAAAATAATTTTCTCATTTCTCATCAAAGCTCCTAATCTAAGCGTCTATTTGGGGCAGTTGCAGTTTATCGAATAATTTGCTGATAAGCTGATTAAAAATAATCTGTTGATAAGCTAGATCCGGTGGCTATTATATTTTTTTCTTTTTTGTAAAAGTCATACCGCTGGCAGAAAACTGCAACCACACCTAGATATGTGCGGTGTGAAAGTTTTCAAAATGCATAAGCTGTCAAAATACAGTTTACCCAAACAGGTCAGGTGCGTTTTCAAAACGCCACCGCACCAAATAAACTGCCCCAAACAGACCCTAAATTTATACTCTTTGATTTAAATATAATCAAACTTCTGAAATTAAAAAAAAATACTTTTTTCCTCTCATTTCTAATCCTAATTCCACCACAGATTCTAACTGCCGCATGTCATTTATTAGTATTGCATCATTATTCATCAAATGATCTCATGATTAAGCGTTGACCGCATAAAATAAATGTAACGCAGTGAATATTTACGGGCTCCGACAATTATTTTAAGTAAAAAAATCAAATAATTACCCCTCAAAATACTTCTTTTAAATTATAACCTATCAAATTTGAGTGAGCATTTGAGAAATGGATGAAAGAAGGTGGTTGATTTGTAAATAGCAAGTTCCGGACGGTCACTAATCCGTATGTAAAGAAAGCCGACTGCGTACCTGCCATGGATCCAGCAAAGAAAGCCGACTGGGGAAGCCCGACCTTGTACCTGTCTCCACAGCCCAGCCGCCACTCCTCCACTGTGGACCGAGCCCACCACCATTTCCGGCCCAACTGACTCCCGACAGGACATGCCCCGGGCCCTGCAGGGGCTTGGTCTGCAAAGACCACGGCCATGACCTGGAAAGCGCAGAGGATCCATGCAAGGCTAGTAAGTAGGAACTGCCGGAGCTGCCACGGCCCAAACTCGCCTGCAAATCTAGTAAGCATCTCGTCCACATTGATCGCCTCCTCGCCGCCGATGAGAACCGGCACCGATTCGGTCTGAAGAAGGGCGGCGGTCGACTCGTTGGAGTCTGTCTTCGCCGGCGCCGGCATGATATAGCAATAATGTGTACTGCCGCGCGGTAGAGAAGCAGGGATTATTTTGGGGATGATATACAGCATTTTATAGGCAGTTGGAACTTTCAGGGGTCGCTAGAAGTTATTAATTATTATGGAAATGGGGCCATTCTGTAAATTTAAAATTATGCACCAGCTTTGCACGTCCAATCGTACAGTTAGCTGTGAAACAATTATTAAAATAGAGGGCCTTTTACATATATGGAACGTCAGACCTTAAAAAGTAAATATATATAGAACCGAAAAGTTTAATATTACAGAAAAAGGATAAAAAACATTTCATTTTACCAAAATGGAACTCTGTTCAAAAGTTTTAACAGAGCTCCCATCTTTCTCCTCCGCCGCTCGGTTCCTCGTTGGGACGTGAGAGCTCTAAAAATCCCATCTTTCTCCTTCTCTCCCCTCCGCTTTTACCTGAAAGCATGGAGGAGCACGGCCACTTCCCTTCCACTGCTCCGGCGAAGAAGAGAGCGGGTGATCTCCTCGATTTGACTGAGAATGGCATGAGGCTCAATAGCTTACAGCTGTAATTCACTTGTTATAGCTGTTAGATAAATTTTGAAAAACCTAATTCCGACGAAGAAGTGTGACGGTTACCTCCTATTTCGAACTTAAACGACTCGACATGAACACTAAAGAATAAATTTTTATTCTTGTTCGGCTCATTTTTACTTAAGAGTGCAAAAAATTTATTCGTGTCCAACTTATTTGCTTAATAAAAGAAACAAACACCAGTAGGGCTGTAAACTATCTTAGCTTGAGCAAGCTCAGGCTTGGTACGTGTTCGGCTCGTTCGAAATAGCTTGTGTTCGAAATCGTCTCGTGTTCGAAATCGGCTCGTGAACAGTGTGTTCGTGTTCGGCTCGATTTAAATATTCGGGCTCGTGTTCGGCTCGAAATTGACTCGTTAAACAAAAATTGAGAAAAATAGATGTAAAATGTGAGATTCGAACCTGGATCAAATCTATATAAAAAAAAACACTAACCACATTGTCACATGAGATGTTATGATTTAAATTTAAACAAAAATATATATAACATATTATTATTTAAATAATATATCTAATATATTGTTATATAATTTTTTTCCTAGAGCCATTTCGAGCCGAACACGAGCGAACAAACTGTTGTTCGTGTTCGGCTCGTTTACATTTTGAGCTTAAAAATTTGTTCGTGTTCGGCTTGTTATTAAGCCTAACAAGCCGAACACGAGCTGCTTAACGAGCCGAACACGAGCTGTTCACGAACAACGAACCAAATTGACAACCCTAAACACGAGTTTATTAACAATCCGAGCATATGTTTTTCGCGAACAATGAACAGTTTTGACATTCCTGAGTGTGTACATCTACATACATAAGAATTGTTTGATATGTCCATATAAAAGTCACTTATATTTTTCATCAATCATATTCATGACATAAATATATTATGTAGTGTATTTTATGTAATTCAATCATTAGTTTAATAATTTTATAAACATATATAATTATACAAGTTTGGAGGAATTTATATACATACCACATAATAATTCTTATAAATTTATATGTCAAAAACCCAACATTTAATGTTTACTTGTAGCATACTTTTGTGTCATAATCACATAAGCTATATCTTTGAAAAAAAAAATACATTTGACTTGAGAAAAGAATAATGGTATTATTTTTAATGCAATGTTAAATATTCAAGTCTTATATATAAATGATAAAATTTAACTGCCAGCAATATAAATATATAAAAAAGAGGTATGCATGTTATGCTTAATAATATGAAAGCTTAGGTACTGAATGTCTAAATGCAGTAGGCTGCAAATGAAACGAGTCGAGCAAGGTTGTGTTCAAAGTTGAGCTTGTTTATAAAATTAGAGCTCGAGATTAAATCGAGCATTTGGGGTTCTGTTCAAGTTTGAGCTTGTTTATAAAATTTGAGCTCTTATCGAGCTTTATATTTATGCTCTAGTTTTGTTTCTGTTTGAATTTAGTTCATGTTCATTTGATATGATGATAATCAAGTCATTGTGTTGCGGATTAGTGAGTTCATGTTCAATTCATTAGACAGCTGAACGAGACGAACCTGAACAAATTTTTTTCGTTCGGTTAGTTAAACGAACCAAACACGAACAGTGATGTGTTCGTTCGTGTTTGAATCATTATTGTTCGAAATATAAAATAATTTAATATAATTATATATAAAAAATTTATGATATTTTAAAATTTTAAATTTTATAAATTGTAATATATAATAAATTAATAATAATAGTGTATTAATATACTATATTAGTAATATATTAATATAGATATTATATATTTATATAATATAAGTTATATAGATAATATAATATATTGTTTATATATATTAATATTAGGCATGTCAAATTTGCTCGTCATTCGCGAACCGCTCGTGTTCGGCTCGTGTTCGACTCGTTCGTTAAGAAATGAACACGAACAATGACTTCGCAAACAATTTCAAACACGAGCTCAAACCCTGTTTGTTCGTGTTCGGTTCGTTTACACCCCCTGAGGCTGACAATGTGCGAAGGAGATGAGTTCAAATTTCAAAATGAGAGCTTTATTTAAATAAAAACCTCCCGGATTTTGTAAATCTCAAATTTATGAAAAACATGTAAGCAAACAAAATTTAATTTGCAGAAGAATTTAAAATCACAGTTTTTATCGTTTTGGCAATATTTAAATTAAATCCTGATTAAATCCCGCTACCAAACAGCCGCATTCACATCCCCATTGAAACAACCGGTGTTTCTGTCCGGACTCCTGACGTACCTCTATGTGCGGCGTAAGTTACTCCCGAGTTCTTTTGAGATTATTTCTTAGTTATTTTCAATAATCCTAAAACCCAAAAATAACCCGCGGTCTTTATTTTTGGGCTATTTCTGGGTTATTTCGGTATAATTAAAAATAACTCAGAAATAACTTCAGTCGCTCGTAGAGCTACGTCAGGAGTCCGCACGCAAAAATTTTTGCATTGAAACAGTGCATCCGTCCATTACAAATTATAAATTAGAGATGATAATTAATATGTGATTTGAAGTAGGTTCAATATTTATGGAATTTGGGCCCCCACAATGTGAAAACTATTTTTATAATCTATATTTACAATTTTTAATCATGCAAATCTCTTCCTTTTATAAGCAGGAAGCTGCATTTTTATCACATTCATCAGATTCTTTTTCTATATAAGCCTACAGCTATCCCAAATAGACCCATCACATTTTTTTAAAATTTATCAGTTAATGCGTTCAGACCGCTGGCGCCTGGCAGAACAGCGATGCTTTGCGCTTTTTCGATTTTCATATCATAATCAAACGCTCGGTCGGCGAGCTTCATTTTCTACCTAGCTTTGGATGCTTGGTGGAGGGATCATCTAAAATTCCCCTTACCAATGTTTTTTTCTTTTTTGGAAAATTTACATGCACGCCACACAATTGATATTTACACATTTTACTTCTTTATGCCAATAAACCTATGCACTAAAAGGTACATTCCAATTTTAAGAAGATGATGATGCAGATATATTTGATGTTATGTTAGAAAATTTAGGGGTATGCATGTAAATGTGAATGTTTTGGTGATCGGAAGGTGGGTGATGCACACATAACAAGTATCAATTCAAATGATGTACATTTTACTATTTGAATGGAAATAATTATCTCAATTTGATGGGTAATCTATTTTGTAAGTCATTTTTTCATGTTTTTTTTTACTCCTCTGTTCTATCATATTGTAGCACTTTTTTTTCTCGTAACATATTTAAATTCCCTTTGTTGTGGATTACTGTGAATTTAAAATTTCTTAGGGGTTGTTTTGGATCACTTTGATTTTTTTTTTGCTTTTTTTTTTTTTT